TTTGGCTTCCTGCCCTGGCTGATGTAGTTCCCTTGCAACGCTTTCAGAAGTTGGATTGCCCCCGCTTCAATGTCCTTTGGCTGCAATTTTTTCCATACGCGCGCGTCCTCGTCCAGGACTGGCACGCTGAATAACGTGAGATTGCGGCTTAAATTCAAAGCCGAACGAAAATACAAATTCCACGAAGCAAACCCGAACACCCAATCTCTACATACTTGTGCCTCACATCGCCGAGCCATGATTTGAACCCAGTCTTGGAGCTCAACCCGTGGTGCGGACTCATCACGGCGATAGCGCTCCACGGCACTCCATGCCGGAGGGTCTGGCATGCCTGTACAAAACTTGAAGACATAGGGAAATGCAAACCCAAAATACTGCGGCCAAAACTGGTCTAGAAGCCGGTTGCCTGTTCGCAGCGTCAACTCCGCCGCTTCCTCGCCCGTCTCCGGCCCTTGGCTCCGGGCAGCTGTTGCTTGTAACGCCGAAACATGTTGCGCATTGATATCTGCCATGCCAACGCTGGTTCGTTCCCCAACCACAGCATTTGGTTTTGCCATGCTCTTCATTTCTTCGGCTAGGTCGTCTGCACACATCTCTTGGCGAACAGGCGTTGCAGCCTTCTGCCGCATGATGCAATTCAGATCGTCATCGTACGGTAACATAGCAACAACTTCATCAGGGACCCCGTCCTCTGGTAATGCCTTGGCCTGGCTGTACATCTCTTCCATTTGAATACCTTGAAAAGCTGGATGTCCGCGGGCAACAGCGTCTTCAATGAGGCGCACGACGACAGCTCTGCGCACACGTGCTTGGTGCACAATGCGACCGACATCCAAAGTTTCATGCCTCTTATGCCCTTTCACAATGACATTCACTACTTCCCGCAACTTGGCGCCACAATGCGGCAGCTTCAGACCCGCTGCTTTCTGCGATGGTTGCTTGTCCAAATCTTGAAGTTGCTGCAGCATATCCTCCCAGGCTAAGGGAAATGTGGTTGCGTTCCCACGCACAGCCATCCGCTGTCGATTCATCCACGCATCTTGATCCAAGGCACGGTCACCCCGCAGCTTCTGCTCCAAACTGAAACAAATCATAGTTGTCAAGCACGGACTTGCGCACAACATTTCCATGACAGTGACTTCCACGCTATAGGCTTCCCGTGGCCCATAGTAGACCATCATGTCATTGCTCAACGCGGCAGCAGGTTGCCTTCCATGCCAAACAAGATCACCTTTGCAACTCGTGCAAAGAGGGACCCAGCATTGCGAACATAAACTTTCCGGCCGACACCGTTTGTGGCAAATCTTGTCTTCAGGGCAACATACTAACTGCACCGACGCAGCTGCAAAGTCGACCTGGCAAGCCCAAGCTTCTAACTCAGCAGTCATCTCTTGTCGCGCAAATTCTGTTTCTTTGTCAACATACTTTTCTCTAAAAGCCTTCATCCCCAAAAGTTTCTCCACCGCTCCTAGCGATTGGCCAAAGATAGTTTCATTTTTGCGGTCAACCGGCTGCACCCAGCCCACTTCTTGATTGCGGCTGCTTCTGACATACGGATATTTGCGAGCACACACAAAGCACAGCAAACATGAAATATTGTTAGCTTCCAAGCTTTTCTGATAGGCTCGCAAAGCCCGTCGGTCAATAGATACGTTTGCCACGGGAGCTGCCGATTGGCATTGCCACGTGATTGCTGCCGCATACATTCCAAGCATGTCCTGCTGTTTTATGGCTTTACCGCAGACTTCTGTAAATATTTCTGCGTGGCTGCTGGGGATGTGGTCCACAAACCCCTCTTCACTCTCCGAGGCATAGCTACATCCGCGGAAGCTGCAGTGCCACGCCGGCAGGTCATATGCTTCTCGGGCGCTACATAAATTTTGGTGCTGCAACGGCAGCGTTGGCTTCTCGTTCAGTTTCTGGCTCAACGCTGTGATCTGCCGTTCCGCTACCTGTCGCGGGTCTTTGCACCCAACCGCGGCGCACCTCAAGATAAACATATTTTCTCCTTCCACGTTTTCGCTGCCTGGGGCATCCAATCGCCATGCGTCGTCCGACATGGTGGTGGCGACAGGCGCAGCCGTCTTTTTACGCAAGCGCTTCACCGGAACCCATGAATGCCTGTCCTCCACTGGGCTCTTGCCTCTTTTCTTTGCATTTGGCGTTGCTTGGTCTTCCCTCTCTGCGACGTGTTCCCCGACATGTTCGCTGGCATCGCTTTCGTTACGACACTTGGACTCCGACGTTTCCGCTGTTCCCGTCCCCAATTTCTGCGGTGACCCTTGCCTGCAGCTATTGCAGTAGCCAAGCCATTGGTCCACTAAGCGCATTGCGGCATGCCAGCAAGAATCAGCATAAGCAAGGCCGCTCTGTTGCAACGTATGCAATTTTGTACACAAAGCTTGCCGATCCTGCCAACACGCAAGGACTTCACAAGCATCTTGCATGTGGACATTGATCTGCGCTCCCCGCGACCGGAAAAAAGCTTGCAACAACACTTGCACGTCTTCTGCGCCAGGCGCAGCAAGCATGCGCAAAGCGCCCTGCGTCGTCTTTGGCGTCCCAACTGCGTTCTCCCCATGCACTGTCATTGCTTCCTTCCCTGCCACCGGCCTTCGCTTGGCCACCTCATCTTCTTGCAGTCGTCCTTTGTCTTTCAGACAGCTGGCGGTGGCAGACGCATCTAACAATGCATCGAAGTGGTAACCCTGACCTGTGGCAAGTGTCTGGTTATAAACATGCAGTACGGCTCCTCTGGCAGCGGCTCCTCGCCCGCATTCTACGTCCACGTAATCTAACTCATGAGGCCCCAGCCCCAACTCCGCATGATCCAAAGAATCGTATAAGCATACGCGGAGGAAGAACTGAAGGATTCGCGGGGTGTCCCGATGTCCATCTAAATACACGCCAAAGGGCACCCCATGTTGCTCGTGTAGGGCGGCCCTGCATGTTGCACACACCTCTTCCCGTTTTGCCAACGTCATTCCCTGCGGAGCTAAGCCTTTTGCCACAAGGCCCAACAAGAGCGCGTCGATCAAGCAATTGTTTACACCATGGGCAGACGCAACCTGCAACCGCAAGCCTTTTTGCATTTCTAGGTCCTTTATTCTTTGACGGTTTGATTTTCTCTTTGTGGGTATGTTCACGCCTGCAATCCTGAGAAAGCGGTGCGCCAATTCGATGGCCATGTCGTCCGACCCGTCTTCTTCCAATTCTTTCCAACCCTCCCAACCTTGCACCCACTCTTGTGCCCACAAATACTCCAAATGGGAAGGGTCTTCCACAAGTGACAAGCACACTGCTTTTACAGCTGCTTGCTCAGTCAGCACTGCTCCGCCGCCTTGAAAACGCCTAAGTCCCTGGCGATGCTTGTTACAACCTACCCATCTTGAAAGCAACGCCTTTGCCCTCATGTGTTCTGGCGCCATACCCAACCTTTCCGCAAACCCTTGTGCAACAACCAGAACAACAACGGCAACAATAACAAGAATAACAAGAATAACAAGAATAACAAGAACAACAACAACAACAACAACAACAACAACAACAACAACCACAACCACAACCACAACCACAACAACAACAACAACATCAACATCAACAACCACAACAACAACAGCAACCACAACAACAACAGCAACAACAACAATAACAACAACGACAACAACAACAACTACTACTACTACAACTACTACAACTATAACTACAACAACAACAATAACAAGAACTAGAATAACCACAACAACAACAACACCAACAGCAACAACAACAACAACAAGAACAACAGCAGCAGCAACAACACCAACAACCCCAGTCCCAAAACCGAGAACACCAACCACACGACCAACGCCACCAATACCACCAACAGCAACCACACTATCGCCACCAACCACACCGCCCATTCCAACTACGCCAACAACACAAACCACGCCGAGGACACCAGCGCCAACGCCAACAGCACCCCCGCCGCTGCGATTCGCAGCAACCAAACCAATGTCCACAACAACAACAACAACAACAACAACAACAACAACAACAACAACAACAACCACGACGACGACGACGACGACAACGACAACGACAAAAGTGGTCACGCTGCACCCTGGCCCAAGTGCATCACAGCCACACGCCGGGCCAATCGCACAAGTGTGGCCTTTCATGCAGGCCAGAATTGCACAAGGCTGCCCAGGCCAACTCACTGCCATTGAGGCCCTGCGCGCTGACTTTAAATGCACGAGGTGCTGAAAAGCACTTATGGGGATTGTCCCGTGCCCAGCAGGGCGCCCCCCCGGGGCATTCATTTTCGCAAGAACACGCCAACATGTATCCCCCGGAGGGGCGCCCTGCTGGGCACGGGACAAGCCCGCTAAGTGCTTTCCAGCACCTCGTGCATTTAAAGTCTGCACGGAAGACCTCATGCAAGTTAAGCTGGCATCGGCAGCCTCATGCAAATAAGGCCTGCATGGAAGGCCACACTGGTGCGGTAGGCCCAGCATCTGGCTGCGATGCACTTGGGCCAAGATTGCACTCACCACGAAAAACCTTCAGACAAAGCCTCAGTCAGCATGTCTACTACGCCAAAGCCGTACCTTATGCTGTATCACTGCTACATGCAAGATTCTACTATGCACTCCCGCTCAACCCAATGCATTTTTTTTGCTCTGTTTTCTTCATCTGCCAATCATATTGTTGGCACTTGAAGCCCAAACCTACCAAGTCTCACGGATCACCTGGCCAAGGGATTCTAAAGTTTGACGTCTTCGCAAAAAAGTAGGGTCGGCGGCACCCGGGCGCTAGCCCATTCTATAATATATGGCAGTGTGTCAAAACCTTGTACCCCTGGTGAACATCAAAATAGCTGGTAAATGGATGTTCATCCCATTAAAAATGGTATCAATAGGTATTGATCCATACCCATATAAGAACCAGAAATGGAACACACAAATGACACACAACATCTTGCCGAAGCGAGGGGTTTTGTCTTTCGGCCCCCTTTGCGCCTCCGCCTGCCGCTTCGCTGGCCAAAGCCTTGGCAAAGAGCTGCTCCTCGGCCAAGCTCTGCAGTGTCAACTGTTGGTCGTCAAGGGTCCCCTATCATCCCTATCGCTGGCAACCTGAAGTAACAGACATAATATAATTCATAGAATATAATCATAATTCATAGTATGATAATACGTGATATACACAGTCTAGAGTCTATAGATGTCTATAGCCGAGCCTCTTTCCTTTTTCTTTGTGATCACACTTCTTAGAAGAACCGTCCCCAAATCGTTGTACTGGGGAAAAAAAACACCAAATGTTCATGGAATTATATTGAATTCACCTATTTCATTGCTGTACAATTCTGCAGTAGACTCAACGTGATAGCAGATAAATGCAAAGACCACACCTCCATCATCGCATCATCATCTACAGTGCGGCGACGTGCTGCTCCCTGCTGGGAAGGCAGTGATCTGGTGCTATGATCACCCGATGTTCAACATAACTTTTTGCACATGCGGATTCCACCCAACATGATTTTTTTTTGGTCTAGTTTGGTACGGCAACCGACAGGGGGCATCGTCACACTTGTGGATCATCGCAAGTAGAAGCCAAGTCAATCTCAAAATCTCCCTCACTTTATCCGTTCACTAAAGGACCTTTCGACTGCTAGCTCATACCTGGACACAACAAATGGGCTGACAGACCGGCCTCATCAAAATTGAGCAGCCTCAAAATAGAACGAAAGCGGCAACTGACTTCAAGACTGGATTTGTCCTCAGGAGGTTTATTTGCATTGAATGACTTGCTATCGACTTGCAAGACTCTATATGTTGATATATATGTTGATATATGTTGATGTTGTGATTCATTTGCAAATCCACTAGGCCTTGCACAAGCCAGCTGAATACTGACTAAAGGGGATCCAGTGCCGTGAGAAATTATGCTTGTATCATCTTGTATCATCTTGCATCCCAAAGAAACAATGAGGTTGATCCGCTAAGCCGCTAGTGGAGCAACAAATTCAGCCCAATCCTGTTCTGCTCAGCGAAGTCACTTGTCATTGCCTACGTCACTTGCAGCGAAGTCACGGACCCTTGTCTTCGGTGATTGTGGGCGGATGATCTGCGCATGGGAAGTAGCTTGCTTCAAGATGTCTCGGTCTCAAATTTTACAAATATACGCAAAAAATGGTGCCCGATGTTCGACCGACACCATTCACTTAAACTTCAACAAGTATCACATCCAAATTGTTTTCACAGCATCCACGCACCTCAAGTGAGACATCAACAACGGAAAAAAACACCGCCACTCGTCCATGACAACACGAATCGACAACCATCTGGGAGGATACCACAAAGTCTGCAAGGATCTGCAAGGAGGAATCAGGTTGACGAAGGAAATTGATGAAGTCTACAACTATCGCACCGGCATCTTCAGCTTCATCTTCATCATCGTCACCACTTCCACCACTTCTACCACTTCTACCATTTCCCCCTGACTACAACCAGATACAACCATCACAACAACCACCAAGATCACGGGTTCAACCATCATCTCTTGAACGACCAAAACCCCAAAGAAACTGAAGAGTTGCGAAGGTACGATGGTTCATCTCCTGCATGAATTCTGGACACAGCGCTTGGTTCCCACCTGGAGAGGTGCTGGGCCTCCCCATTTCAATGCTCTGCCGTGCAGGACCAGCTGCTGCCTCCGGCACTGCAACTTATTATTCGTATCACAACAACGGGTCATGCAAAGCATGAAGCGGCCGTCAAGGAAACCAATGGCTTCATGAAACTTTGAGAAACACCCAAGTCTGCAAAGAAAATGTTGTTTGTCTCCTTGGCCCTGCAGTCACCAGTTGTTCCTTTCTGTCTTGGGTACATTTCAGTGTTGGACATCATGGAAGGAGAACAGCATGTCAACACAGATTCTGCAAACCCGCTTTGCGCTCAGTCGAGACTCACCTTTTCGCCCGCGGTCTTGACACTGCTTTCCTCCACGTGGCGTCGGCTGCCGCCTGTGGTGCATGTAGGGGGAAGTTTACCCAAGATTAGGCAAAGCCAGCAGTTAGGTAAAAGAAAAAAATAGAAACCACCAGGGAAAGAATGTATACAGCTTGAAAGTTCCAGCATAAGCAAATGTGCCCAATTTTGCAACCGATCCCCCCGCCACATCCGTCCTCCATTGTCCATTCTGTACAACTTCATATCTGTCCATCCATGAAAAGAGTCAGTCAAATAGGCAATGCAATCTCTTGCACAATTATAATATACCATGACATGACCTTGCCATCATGCCATATCTCTTGATCGTGCCCCTTGCTTTATTTTTATATGTCCAGCGACCTTCTGTCTGGGAAGGCCATTTGAATTATCTCGAAAACTGATAGCAATGACTAGGTGTTCCATGGTGTTTCCATCTATGTATGGCTATGGATTCCTCAAGAAGCAGTGGAGATCCATGAAGTACCACAGCCCCCACTGATTCCTATGGCGGGGCCTCGCATTTCCGCCGCACTCAAGGAATGCATGCCCCAGCAGTGAGCAGCCAGTAGTGCCACGTAGATGGCCTACGGTGGAGCACATGGAGCAGCTCTGACTTGAGACGAGAGATGAAGGTACAAAGAAGTGCTAAGAAAGTTGGAAGCTAAGGAAGCTTGAAAGATCTTGAAAGATCTTGAAAGATCTTGCAAGACTCCAAAAGCATCTGCATGGAGGTGTTGGGAAAAATGGACTGCGAATGGACAGCCCACGGGCCTGCCGCTCAGGATTCCAACCGGCCAATTCGCCTCCGATCACCAACAACACCAACACCAACAGGTTGAGGTTTGTTTTGGCCTGAACCTTTCGAAAGCTTTCAATAGAGGAGTCGATTGAGTCTATTGAGTTTACTTCCAACATCCATCCCGTTTGAGAATTTGTAGATTCCTTGGGCACCCCACTGTAGATCAGCCCACCAGTGGCCACTGCCGCAACGACAGACAAGACCTGGATCAGTGTTGCCACCGTAGCTATGCAAACCCGGTAAATCCCTGTCTTGAGTGTCATCCTGGATCATCCTTGTATCAGCCACCACAGTTGCATTAATGTTACATTTGTGGTGCAAGACTTGATAGCCTTCTACAGCCTTCCTGCTGGTTCCGCAGGATGAGCTTTTTCCAAGAACCCTCTGCGACGGCCCAAGGTTCAAACACCATAAGTCGCCAGAACTCTAAGCGTGTCGTGGGCTTCCAAGGCTTTTCTCAAGGGTGAGGCTGCTGCGCTTCGCACCTGAAGCGAAACATTAGAGTGATGCAAATTGACACTACCACATCCACATATGAAGAACCAAGAAATGCCCAGGTATCCCGTGGATACTTGCACACCTTCAAAAGCTAAGACTTCAAGAGTGTCAAACTTTTGGGCCCAAGAATCCACAAACTTCAAAGACTGTTCAAAAAGAAAAGATGTTTGAAGAGAGATAGCGAAATCACAACTGCCAACTGAAAGCACCCCCAAACGCCGATTCCAAGGTTGCCACTGCCAGGATGAATACAGCAAGCAAGGGAAGAGCAGCCCAAAGCTCCAGCCTCACAATGTATTGCTAAAATGGTTGTCAAATATCAAATCTCCGACGCTTTGAAGATTCTTGAATGAATTGGTACGAACGGTACGATTGTGCAAATACTGCTCTTCAACAATAGAGCGCTCAGCCGGCAAAACTGGAGAGTTGAGCTTCGGACCTTTGTGGAGCTATACAAAGAGAAGCCGCAACCTGTGGCACTGCCTCCCAAGAGGAATCCTTGCAGAATCCTTGCGGCCTGCAGTCTTGATGTCCGCATCGCAAGCACTTGCCTTGAGCAGCATGGAAGATACCCCGAAGTTCAGCGCGGATGGCAGACAGCTCACAAAAGGATTGTTCCCACCTGCAGAGAACCCAAGAAAAAAGGCTTGACTTCACTTTCTGGCATGCGATCGTTGAAGCATTCATGAAAAAAAGTGCTCAGTACATCTCTCAAAAGTTAGTTCTCTCGTCCACGAAACTGGAATTGTCAAAGCACAATCATGGGCCTCGGTAGCAGAGGCATATCAATGCCCCTACAAGGAGCAGACTGACCACGTAAGCACAGCTCCTCCAGGCAAACGATCTACATACCATCTCCAATCGGAATCAGCGTGTTCCCGTGTGACAACAGTTCTTTAAAAAGATGAAATTGAGTGAGATGCAGCTGCTACAGCCGTGGGTGCAGAAACGTCCCCAAAAAAACCATCGGAAAGAAAGCATTGAAACTCCAATTGCACAGCTTGTCGATGGGAACGTGCAATTTCACTGGCTCCCGGGAGCCAGCAAGGTCTCCAACAGTACTTCCACCTGTCAGCAGCAACTTCCACTCAGAAAGCTATCAATGGCAAGCTGTCTTACAACCGACCATAAGCTATCCCAGGCTCACCAAGATGATATTGGTGGCCAATGGTGACCTGAACCTGCACGATAAGACTGGACCCACTCCCCTCATGTTCGCAGCTTCCACAGGGCATGCAAACAGCATCAGGTGGCTACTTCGATAGAAAGCTACGGGGGAAGCAGGGAGCTAACAGAGGCATCCTAAGCCAATCCGGTGAGTTAGTTAAGATCGATCACAGGACTGAAACAGCCATACCTTTTCAATTTTTCAATCTGGGCCTTGACGATCTTGGCAGCTGCCCCCCTACCATGTCAAGACCTGTCAAACCCTCTCCAAATCCATCCCATATCCATCCACTGTCTGCCTGCATGGCTTCATGCACACTGCCACCACCAGGATCCAAGCAGGGGAGGACCCAGACGACTAGGGCAAGGACGCAAGCAAGAACCTGAACAATTCTGAACAGACTTGCAGCAAACGTCTTCCCCTTTTATGATGCCCTTTCTACAGGAGGGAAAGAGGCTCATTGCATTCACTGTATCGCAGTGCCTTGAGGCATGTTCTATTCATCGAGAGGCTCACAGACTCAAACTCATAGCAAGGTGTCGAAGACAAGCACCTACCTAGTCTGAGTGGGTTACGTCTTTGGGCCAGGAATGTGGCTATCACGATTTCACAAAACAGGCCTCGTTCATTTGCAGCACTTTGGCCCGCTTAGATTCCTGGTGCAGCTCAGGAGGGAATCTAAACAACTGGTCGCCAAGCTATGAAGTACTTTCAACCACCGACCATTAAAAATGACATGAGGACAGAGAAGCTTTCATGCACGGTACACGATTTGGGGTGAACTGTTATCAACACAAATCGTCCAGTACACACTCAAGCCAAGCCTTCCAGTAGTACAGGAAAACCAAGCAAGAGGCATTCATTGGATAGGCCTGCAGCCGCAAGAGGAGCGAGAATTGGACTGGCCCAGATCTTGGATGATCTGTAGGGATTTGCATCAATGATGTGTTTTTGCATCGCAAGGGAGGAAATCAAGGACCAAAGATGGGAAATGGCCCCAGCACTATGTACAGAGCTAGATCACCAAGAAACCTCTACTTCATCGCATGCATCGCATTTTTGCCACCCCATGTTTCAACCCAGAGCTGCCTGCATCAGCGGCAAGAGCCGAAGAGCCACCAATTCCGCCACCTGAGATTTGGTTGCGAAAATACAAAATGGATCAAAATGGAGATTCATTCGTCCCGAAATATCATCTCCGTCGTTGCCATGTTTTTTGGTTGCGGCGAGATCAGTGAATTGTCCACATATCTTAGCTGCTCTTAGTGGAAGTATAGAGTTTTTCAGTCAAAATAGAAGAGGGCACAAAAGGCCATAAAGTCTCGAGAAAGGAGTTGAGACCCACACCAACCCCACCACCAGCAGGCGCCGGGCGCCGCGCTCGGTGACCCTGTCATTTGAAAAGGTACGTTGGCAAGACATGCGAAGAAACGAACACCTTTTAATAGGTAACAACAACAACAACAACATCATCAACATCATGGAGTCATTGGTTCGTCTCACCTACTATATGGAGCATTCATAGATGTTGTGCAATTATTGATCCCCGTCTGGTGTGCCCCCTAGGGTCTGGACAGGAATCTTAGCCAGCTGAAATTCTTGGTCCAACCCCAAACAATGCATGGTAAAATTTTCGCGCTGAGGTTTCAAAGGGATATTTTTTGGGAGTAAAGCCCGAAAAAAAATCCAGGTCCAACTGAATGTTCCCTAACTACAATTCAGTGCGCTTAGGTCGCTTTGATACAATGGCTTTTGCAACACGACCTGAGATAAAACTCCAAGAACTTAGGTTATGCTGATCCAGTGGAAACATCGAGGCATTGAGGTTGTTCTAATCAAACATATGAGGGAAAAAAAGATCCCTTGGGTTAAATTCGATGCGTTGAGGTACGCATGACCCTTGTTTCCTTTTCACATTTTTCACCCGAGCGATCATGTCCACGAAGAGTCACGGGATCAATTTGGAGCTCCTCGGAGCTCAAACCCTACATCTGTTCTGGCTAAGTTCAAAACAGGGATGTGTGAGATGAAAATTTTGGGGTCTGAGGTTTTGTGGTGTGTCTTGGGACATTGGTTCAGGATGGGTTGGCACACATGTGGGGTATAATATGGAGATCTGTTCCGGCAAAGTTCAAAACAGGGATGTGTGAGATGAAAATCTTGGGGTCTGAGGTTTTGTGGTCTGTCTTGGGACATTGGTTCAGGATTGGTTGCCACACATGTGGGGTATAATATGGAGATCTGCTCCGGCAAAGTTCAAAACAGGGATCTGTGAGATGAAAATCTTGGGGTCTGAGGTTTTGTGGTGTGTCTTGGGACATTGGTTCAGGATGGGTTGCCACACATGTGGGGTATAATATGGAGATCTGTTCCGGCAAAGTTCAAAACAGGGATGTGTGAGATGAAAATCTTGGGGTCTGAGGTTTTGTGGTCTGTCTTGGGACATTGGTTCAGGATGGGTTGCACACATGTGGGGTATAATATGGAGATCTGTTCCGGCAAAGTTCAAAACAGGGATGTGTGAGATGAAAATCTTGGGGTCTGAGGTTTTGTGGTCTGTCTTGGGACATTGGTTCAGGATGGGTTGCCACACATGTGGGGTATAATATGGAGATCTGCTCCGGCAAAGTTCAAAACAGGGATGTGTGAGATGAAAATCTTGGGGTCTGAGGTTTTGTGGTCTGTCTTGGGACATTGGTTCAGGATGGGTTGGCACACATGTGGGGTATAATATGGAGATCTGCTCCGGCAAAGTTCAAAACAGGGATGTGTGAGATGAAAATCTTGGGGTCTGAGGTTTTGTGGTCTGTCTTGGGACATTGGTTCAGGATGGGTTGCCACACATGTGGGGTATAATATGGAGATCTGCTCCGGCAAAGTTCAAAACAGGGATGTGTGAGATGAAAATCTTGGGGTCTGAGGTTTTGTGGTGTGTCTTGGGACATTGGTTCAGGATGGGTTGCCACACATGTGGGGTATAATATGGAGATCTGCTCCGGCAAAGTTCAAAACAGGGATGTGTGAGATGAAAATCTTGGGGTCTGAGGTTTTGTGGTCTGTCTTGGGACATTGGTTCAGGATTGGTTGCCACACATGTGGGGTATAATATGGAGATCTGCTCCGGCAAAGTTCAAGACAGGGATGTGTGAGATGAAAATCTTGGGGTCTGAGGTTTTGTGGTGTGTCTTGGGACATTGGTTCAGGATGGGTTGCCACACATGTGGGGTATAATATGGAGAGCTGCTCCGGCAAAGTTCAAAACAGGGATGTGTGAGATGAAAATTTTGGGGTCTGAGGTTTTGTGGTCTGTCTTGGGACATTGGTTCAGGATGGGTTGACTCACATGCGTGGTGTAACATGGAGAGCTGGTCCGGAAAAGTTAAAAACAGGGATCTGTGAGATGAAAATCTTGGGGTCTGAGGTTTTGTGCTGTGTCTTGGGACATTGGTTACAATGGTTCTGGCGCAAAACATATCTGGATAAAGTTCAAGTGGCCAAAGTCCTGTTTATCCTTTTGCAGTCTCCAACAAACTTTGCTCCGAGAAGTTCCACACTTTTCTTTGGTTGCAACCCCAGTGTCGCTGAATATTTTTCCATGGGACAAACCCCCTGAACTTTGAAAATGCCAAAGTTGGGGCTGAATAAATGTCCTAGAGGGATAATATTTTCGGGCACAGGGTCAGGAAAAAATCCTGCTAGCACAAACCCGGTTTTTCATGTTCGTAGATTTCATGGCCTTGGCCCCCAGGGAAATGAAAAGATTTCTTGGGAATAAAATTCATAGTGCTAGGGTATTTAAGTGAATATAGAATCTTTGGACAAGTGCCCGTAGATAAAATTCATAGACACCAGGTAAGTGAATATAGAATCTTTGAGGCAAGTGCTGGTAGATAAAATTCATGGAGACTAGGTAAGTGAATATAGAATCTTTGGAGCAAGTGCTGGCGGATAAAATTCATAGAGGCCAGGTAAGTGAATATACGATGTTTTGAAAGGGGTTTTTGGATAAAATTCCCGTGGTGAGGTTGGAACGCCATTGGTATAACTGATAGGGCCTTGTGGCCCTGGATATTTTTTTGGCCAGACCCCCCGAATCCTATCCAGGGACGCCCAACGGGGATATTATTGTAGTGTATGGCAAGATATGATATACCCCCAATACTGCTAGACTGCAGGGTTTACGGAAGGATATGGAAGGTGAAGAGGAGCACAATTCGTCTGCAATTCGGCCAACAGCATTCCAAACCTGCGACTCTGGAGATGGATAGCACAATTCGTCTCACTAAGTTCGTGTGAAAGAGCTGGGAACTCTTCCATGAGCACATCAAGATTCTAGTGATTCTAGTGGCACAGAGCACCTGTGGAATGGTGCTGCCATTGGCTTCTTGGCAAAACGGATGTACCTCAAGGGACACTCCAATGACTCCAATGGTTTGATGTCAGAGAAATCTCATTGAAGCACATCAGGTTCGTATCAAAAGCAGTCTGAATCTGTTGCTTTGCACGGAAAAGATTCAAACTCAACCACCATTTATCCATGTTGCAATGGAGAGGGGATAACAAGGCAATCTGAATGACAAATTCAAACACAAGAATGGATCTGCTTTGGCATTGTTCGTAACGTTCGTAGACTCTTACCTGCCTCCCGGCAGGCTTTCATGGTGTAAAGGCTTACCCTGACAGCCGGGCGCCGGGCAAGCAACGACGTTTGGCTTATGGTGTGGGAAGATTGGGCCGAGATTCTCCGCGCAAACCCAGCAGGGAGGGCTATGTTGAACTGAGGCGGGCATAATGCGCAGTGCTTGCCTGTATGGAAGCAGTCTTGAGCGCAGGTTGTGCCCATGTTGGGCCAAGTCGGGCCAATGTTGAACCATCCTGATGTTATCTTGGACTTACGTTGGGCCAAGTCGGGCCCGTGTTGAGCACTGTTGGGCCCATCTTGGGCCTATATTGGGCCAGGTTGGGCCTATGTTGGGCCCATCTTGGGCCCATGTCCAGCCTATGTTGGGCCCATGTTGGTCTATGTTGGGCCTATGTTGGCCCATCTTGACCCCTCTTGGCAGCTATGTTGGGGCCATGGGCCATGTTTGGGCCAGCTATGTTGAAACGATCTTAAGATGCAATTTTTTCCGCCCCGGGCTCCCTCCTGGAGCCCAAAACCACGTAAAAACCGATGTTTTTTAACGTCGCCAAGATGAAATCCCTTGCCGCCGAAGGGCCCGAAACACCGTAAAAAAAACAATGTTTTTGAATACACCGCAAGCAAAATACACCGCAAACAACAGGGACTTCAGTCGGGGGGAGTGTCCGCGGGGTAGTTCAGGGGTGGGTCGGCGGCAGGGGGCGCAGCGCCTATAACCTTCGGTTACCACCGAAGGCCTCCGGCAAGGACACGGGCTGCGGCCCCTTGGCCGGCGCCCGGATTTGCTAGAGGAACAGGTTCGTGTTCCGTGCCACAGCTATCTTTCAAGTGCGAGCATGCCACATATGAAAGATTCAAGCAAAGAAGACAGGGACCAAGCATAAACTTGGTTCGACTCCTGGCGATGCTCAATTCCTGAGGCTATGTCGGTTATTTATATATATATATATGTGATATGATATGATATGAAAATGCTCATGGCTTTCTGTGCATTGTCCAAGTGAGCCTATCCCGCCCAATCGGCCCGTGCCATGTGGTCACTGGAATGTCGAAGCAGCGAGGACGCATGGAAAGCTGATGAACCTCAGGGTCGCTACAAGATTTGCAGCTCTGGCAGTGGTGAACCCTATTAAAAGAAAAACATAACCCAAATAGGTCCAAATGCATCTAAATGGTTGCAGTTGATTGCTGAATATGGTTGACCAATGGTTGGCTGTATCATACTGTATCCATGTTTACCTCACATGATTTCAAATTCTGTCGCCAATGGCGCTCTCCAAGGACCCAGCCGCACATCCCATGAAGTCTGCATCGCTGGCAAGCCAGGTGCACCATGGCCATGCAGCTGGGCCGAACTTCAGCACCGCCCGGTTTAAGTCATCGAGTCATCGTCAAGAAGCACCTGGGAAAAATTTGGGAAAATGTCTGCTGTTAAGACTCCAGGTCTCTTAGGGTTTTTTCTCCACATGTGATTCTTTAATGAGTACACATGTATACCTACATCTATGTATACCAGGATGTGTATATGATCAGTACATCAATTGAATATTATTCGACACATAGGTGTCTTGAGAAAAATCTCACCTGTCATATGTGTGTATATATATATATAGTTCACGCCTTTGTACTCTTCCCGGCCAAATCAAACTCCAGACTTCTTTCGGGATCATCTCATTGACTGCTATGCTGAAAATTCTTGGATCAAATGGCATGTTGTCCTGTCAGATCTGTCAGCTTGAAAGCCGAAAGCTGGCGGTTCCCTTCATAATCTCACTGCTCTGGGCAGCCTTGATCAGTCCTGATCCGGCAATGAACTTACGACGAAGGGAGATTTTGTCCATATGTCTATGTTGCGTTGGATGGAGACAAATGAAGCATTGCACTTTAAGAAAGAATTCTGCAGTCACTACTGTAAACATAATTAATCGAAGGAAGTTTAGAGGTCAAACTTCCGACAATATGGACAGATGAAAAGCAGAGATGGGAAGAGTCAGAGAAGAGAAGAGAAGAGAAGAGAAGAAGAAAGAAGCTAAAAAAGAAAAAGTCTCAGAAGAAAGAAGATCCAGGTGCGCGAAAAGGTAGGAGAGTCGCGAAACACTGCCTTTTTCCAATGATTTGTGGCTCCAGAGGGTCGAAAAGCAGGGCTCGCTAAAGCGGCGGGTGCGGAGCCAGCTGGCCAGATGAGAGATGAAAGCTTGCACGCCGTTGTGGCGCGAAGCACATTTCCAAGTCAAAATGTACAAACCACACCAGGTTCGGACCACTTTTGGAAGTTGCGATGTCGAAAAAGTGCACGCTGTTGTGGCGCAAAGCACATTTCCAAGTCAAAATGTACAAAACACCTCAGCTCCGAACCACTTTTGGAAGTTGAGATGTCGAAAAAGTGCACGCCGTTGTGGCGCGAAGCACATTTCGAAGTCAACATGTACAAAACACACCAGGTTCGGACACTTTTGGAAGTTGCGATGTCGAAAAAGTGCACGCTGTTGTGGCGCAAAGCACATTTCCAAGTCAAAATGTACAAAACACCTCAGCTCCGAACCACTTTTGGAAGTTGAGATGTCGAAAAAGTGCACGCCGTTGTGGCGCGAAGCACATTTCGAAGTCAACATGTACAAAACACACCAGGTTCGGTCCACTTTTGGAAGTTGAGATGTCGAAAAAGTGCACGCAGTGGCCCCAAGCACATTTTGAAGTCAAAAGTGCAAAAAACTGAGGGGTTCGGAACACATTTTGACGTTCAGATGTCGTTTCGCGTGTAAGGGACTGTGCACCTTGTCAAAAGTGAGCAAATCAGGAGGGTTTTGTAGCATTTTCAACTACAACCACCACTACACTACATTACACTCCACTACACTACAACTACAACTACAACTTCACCTGGACTACATTCCACCACACTACATTACACTACGCTACACTCCACTACACTCCACTACACTCCACTACATTCCATTACAATCCACTACACTACACTACACTACATTACACTATACTACACTCCACTACACTACACTACAACTACACTACACTACATTCCACTACACTACACTACATTACACCACACTACACTCCAGTACACTCCACTACACTCCAATACACCCCAGTACACTCCACTACACTCCACTACACTACACTCAATTACACTACACTACACTACATTCCACTACACTACACTACACTAACCACAACTACAACTACACCTGCAACTACAACTACAACTATATTACAGTACGCTACACTACACTATTTACATTACACTACACTCCACTCCACTCCACTACACTACACTACACTGAATGACACTACAATACACCTACAACTACAACTGCAACTGCAACTGCAACTACACTACATTACATTACACTACACTAATTACACTACACTACACTACACTACATTACACTAACTACAGCTACAACTACAACTACATAAGACTACACTACACTATACTACACTAATTACAGCACACTACGCTACAATACACTACACTACACCCCACTCCACTACACTACACTGCACCTCACCACATTACACTCCGCTACGCTACACTACACTCAATTACACTGCACTACACCACAACACAACACGCGACACTACACTACACTACACCACACCACACCACACTACACTACACTACACTACATTCCACTACACTACACTACATTACACTACACTACACTCCAGTACACTCCACTACACTCCAATAAACCCCAGTACACTCCACTACACTCCATCACACTACACTCAATTACACTACACTACACTACACTACATTCCACTACGCTACGCTACACTACACTACACTACATTCCACTACACTACATTCCACTACACTACACTACACAAACTGCAACTGCAACCGCAACTACAATTACGGCTACAACTACCACTACAATACGTTACATAACGCTACACTACAACTGCAACTGCACTACACTAATTGCATTACACTAAACTACACTACACACTACATACTACACCTTGCACTACACTACACTACACGACACCACACTACAACACACCACACCGCACTACACGACACCACACTACACTACACTACACTCACTTACACTACACTACACTATCCTACATTACATTACATTACTTTACTTTACGCTACACTTATTACACCACCACAAATGCAACTGCAACTGCACGACACTAATTACACTACACCACAACTACAACTCCACTACACTACAACTACAACTACAGCTGTGCGACACCACACTACATCCAGCAGTTGTGGGTGAGGTGACCGACCAGGTGACCACTGCAACCATTGCAACCACTCCAAAAACACAGCTCCAACGACCTTTCGGTCCATCAGTGGATTCGCTCTGCCATCCCTGACTCACAACAACCAATCTCTCCTATAGGTTTCCTATTTTTGAAACTTCCGCCACCGCCTTGTGCGGTACTACTGGTTACGATACATTACAATGAGTCTTCTCTAGTCATTCCCCAAAAAAAAGGTAAAACAGGGGAACTGGGACAAGACAGGTTGGAGGTCAGGTGGGAGGCTGTTATGTTTTTGTTCAATGTTGCAAATCTAAATGTTTGACGGTTTCTTTCTGTTAATCTTGCTAAATGTTTCGTCGGAGTTGTTTGATTAATGTTTGGTTTGGATGAGGGTAGGGTATGTTGAGGTTGTTGTGGTTTTACTGTATGAGATAGTGTCCATTAATGTTCATTTGATGCTTGATGCTTTCTTCGTGTCGTTTCATTGTATATTTTCTTACTTCACATTTACAAATTGGACATTCCAACGTTTCTTTCTTTTTATCACTTAATTCTTCCTTTTTCCTTTCGTAGTATTGTTGAGCATATTGTTTTAAAGTTTCTTTGTGCTGTTCCCTGTATCTGCGTTTGTTTTCTAAACATTTATTACACTGCTTACATTCATTTTTGTAGTAGTCTAACGGTTGAAAGACTTTACATTTAGAACACTGCTTTTTATCAGTCATTATACCTCTACAATTTTAAGGGGTTATGTCTTTAAGGGGTTTTTAGGGTGGATTACATCATAATATAGTTTATTAAGATATTACGAACTAATCGTTAGGTTTAGTGTCTCCACTTTTCATCACCACTACCTATTCCATCCCAACATTGAGAAACAATCGTTTTGATGTTGTAGAACACCAAAATGATTGTGTCTCTATCAAGTCCTCGTTGGTCAATCAAGTATCCCAACACTGACAATAGTGTATAATAGTTTTGTTGTAATGCTGTCATTCCTCCTCTATGGTGTATCCTCTCACCGTGTTTTTTGATTAAATCTTTATCAAATATGTGTTCATAAATTTCTTTCATAAGGTCCTGATTTATCTCTCCATACTCTGCGTATTGCTCTAAAGATTGTTTTTGCTTAAGTAGTAGGTCATATTCTATAAAGTTATAATCAGGATAAGGATTTTCTTTTATGAAATTCATTAATCTTTCTCTATCTCTTTTTAGTTCCTCTTCACTAACTCCAATCATTGGCATCTTTCACTTACTATATATAGGTATTTGTTCCTTAAGTATCTATCACTTTCTGTAGGTGTTCTTTTATTTCATCTTGATTAATGTAATGCTCATAGTGTTTGAATAATTCTTTAGTATATTCACGCAAGAAAAGCTTGAATAGGTCTTTTAATCTGAAATCTATATTTCTAAATTCATAATAACGGTTTAAGCTAGGAAACATCCAAGAATTCTTTATTGCTTTTATATTGTGAAGGTCTTCAAGCATTTGATATGTATGTCCCAAGTTGTTCTTTACATAAGATTTAGTCGCTTGAAGAAATATGCCTTTCCTCAGTGTAGGACTTTTCATCAATATGTCTATTTCTCTTCTCATTTGTCGGTCATTCACATTATCAGACAAATCTATTGGCGATGCTTCCATCCTTGTTTTAAAGACATATATTTGTTTTTCTGCTACTGAATTGATTTCTTTATCTTCAAAGCAGTCTTGATTGTATGTTATATATCTATACTCCTTTTCTCTCAAGTCTTTACATTTTGAACAGTGAAAATTATAACATATTATAACTACATATCTCATCACAAATTCCAACCGGAAAAATGTTGTTCAATAAAACCTTAATGTCAGTCATTTCTTTCTTACAACATCCGCAGTTTTTATAAGTAAATAGCATCCTCTTACTATATATAGTCATTTTTTTTAAAGTAGTTTTTGGGGGCTCGTTCAGTTTTCGGGTTCGGGTTGGTTTTTGTTTTCCCTTTCCTCCTCTTCCAGTTCCTTTATAACCATATCAATTTCACTCATTCCTTCATTGGGGTCTTGTCCATTGGCGAGGTTTCTTAACCTCTCAAAATCCTTCACTTTGTGTCTTTCATTG